TTAAGAAGCATGTCGGAACAAGGGCCGTCTCCTCAGGGTTTGTGGCAGTTGTTAGATTTAGCAGAGCATTTGTACATTAGACATGGCCCATAATTGGTCATTTGTACTTGTAGGAGACGGCGTCCTCCTCTGGGCTGAGTTACAGGCCTGCATCCAGGGACCTTTATTAGTCAGTTTTTGCCTCAGTTGCTGTAAGAATTCGATAAAGCGACCTTACATAGATGCACAGGGGGACGGTGGAGATGGCTATTGATTGACAGAAGTGTGACTTATCAGCTGGATGCTGGACCATTGGGAAAGTGGCAGAGGCAATTAAAAGACAGTTGGTGGGAGTTGGTTTGGGTTTTCGAGGGGGTCAACAGCCGCGGAAAGCAAAGAAGATGAAAAAGCATTTTGGATTTGTTTGCTGTCATCTATTCACTCTCTTCCTCTGTCTCTGCGGTAGCTTCTCTCTTTTTTTGTTGCTCCTCGCAAACATTTTTCACAGCCAGCATGTGACGTTTCCATCACCGGCTTCACAGTAATGGCAGTTTGCCTCCTGGAATCCCAGGCTCCGGCGCTGTGTATCTGCGGACAGGTTTCCAATCATTTCATAGGTGCCTCTTTGAATACCACTTGTGGAATGGAAATCTGTCAGTCAAGCGTGAGCCCGAGGGGGGAGGCCTCGCTTCAATTACAGAAATGGAATCAGATATGAGCCGCTATAAGGGAAGATCGAGATTAGCAGCCCAATGATTCTTTAAAGAGCGATACGGAGCGTGATGGATTGAGGTGGGAGAGGGGGGGGGTGTTGGTCGGGAGGTGAAGAGGAGATAGGGGAGGGGAAGACAAAAGAAGCAAAAAAAAAAGAAAAGCTGAGAGCAAAATGCAGTGGAGGAGAGGGCAGGAGGTGGATGATAAAGGTGATTGTATGAAAGACGGAAAAAGAGAAGATGGGAAATGGGGAAAGGTGGGAGGGACGGAGCGAGAGAAGAGGTGAGAGGAAATGAAGGGGAGAGGGAAAGTGAGAAGGGAGGGAGAGAAAAACGAGCCCAGACATTAAAGGTTAGCAGAGCAAAAAGGAGGCAGGAAGATGGTCTGGGGAGGTGGTGAAAGGAGGACCAGGGCCATTTTAGATACAAAGCAGCAGAGGTGAAGAAGTTGGTTTCGAAAGGAGCTGAAGAGAAGAACGCTGGCAGACACGTCCGGAAAGGTTTTAACAGCGTTTCCACACTGCTGTCTGGACACGTTTTAATCTTGGTAAAAAGAGCCTTGTAAAAACCCAAATATACAAATGTCCCTCATTGTAAATGAACCACACGGGTAGCTTTTGCACATTTTCTCCCATTAACTTGAAATCATGGACACTTTGCAGTACTTCCAGCCATCTTCAGAGCAGCTTTCTAGATTGATTTTATGGCCCAAAGGCAGCCGCTGCTTTCAGACCATGACAGTACATTATGAAAGTCTACTTGCACAGACTTAATACTGCCTCAGAATAACAATCAATCATAGTCAGACAACCATCAAGTCTGGTACATTTATGCTGAAGTTATAGTTGGTTGCAGGATTTTTTTTGTGAAGCAGTTGTTGATGTGGACAATGGAGCCATTTCAAACATTACAGTCCCCCACCACTCAAAAATGTTACTATAGCTGCTAAGGTTTAGGTAATATTTAGAGGGTTTCGGATTCTAGGTGGCATATTTGGACTCAGATTTGATTTACAATTTTAAACAACATGATTCTTGAGTTAACTCATCATATTTGGATACAGCATATACGTGTATCTCTTTAAGACCTGGTACGACATTGAAGTGTTTCCCCCTTTGGATCCAGATGTGACATGAGTGCGTCTCTTCACTAAACATGTGCGAGTCTTGGATAGCAGGTCAGAAGGCACATTCAAGTCTCTTCAGTGATTGTCATTGTTATTTTCATCCAGGTTACTGTTGCATTCTTCTTCACAGTTGCTTCCTTCGCTCGGGGTGTCCGCCATTTTCTGCAGCACATCTTTAAAGTCCCTCTCTGGTCTTTGTTTAAACCCCTAAAAACTCGTCTCTGTGTATTCAAAGTTACAAGTTTGTTGCAAGTCTAAAAATGTGCTTTTAACAATACTCAGCCATGGCATTGATTGCTTATTTATGTTGTGATTTGTCTCCAGCATATTAAAAAAAAACGCTACATGGACACATTAACAAGGAATATAACTTGATTTTCATTGAAGGGTCTCTAAAACTGTTTTGCAGACTATGAACAATGAAAAAAAAAATGGACAAAATCCAATTCCCATAATGCAATTTTCCTCCAACTGGTGTATTAGCGTGCGTCACAGCTGGTGCTAAAAGGATACATAATAAGTGTAAGTATACAAGCAAATGCTTCGTGCATCTGGTCGTAGCAGAAAGGAGTAGTTTTGGGATCTTACTGCATAACTTTTAATTGGGAGAAGGCAGCTTTTTAGCTTAATTTAATAATTTAAAAAAAAATATACGTATGCTATAGTCTTCCAGTATCTGAGTAAAGTATAATGTACGTAATTGTCTAGTTGTCTTTTGTAAAGCAGGCATCAATCTGTATGTTCTGGAGGACGGAAGAGGAAAAAAAAAAAAAAAAAAAAGCACTGTGCTCCACTGTGACGTTATCTCTCCAGCTGTAGACAACAACTGTTTCTGCTCCGACAGATAAAAAACAATGTTTGCCACAATGCTATACTGCTGAATTTCTTTGCAACAAACTGTGGGCTGAGTTATGTTCTGTAGCGGGTAGTAAAATATCTATAGTATGTAGAATCACCAGTTTTTCCAGTGTTGTACATGTTGATTCCAGGTTTTTGTCCAAACTTTAGTCTTTTTCTTTTTTAGGATTTTGTTTCCCTCTTTTGATTGTATTTCTAGGCAGCACACACAGATCAATCAACACATTAACACCACTTGTGTACCCATGAGTGTGTCATCGATTCTACAGTTTTCCTTTCTTGGACCACTTCTGGTAGCCACTGTATACCAGGATCACCTCATAAAACCTGCTGTTTTTGAGATGCTCTAACTCTGTTCTGGCCGTTACAGTTTGGGCCTCGTCAAAGTCACTCAAATCCTCACGCTGCCGCTTTCTCCTGCTTCCAACGCGTCAGCTTTGAGAACTGACTGTTTGCTTGCTGCCTAATATATCCCACTTCTTGACATGTGCCATTGCCAGATAACCAGATAATCGATGCTCTGCACCTCACCTGTCACTGGTTTTAATGTTGTTGTTATTTTAAGCAGTAAACTGATGCTAATGTATGAAGTGCATTCTCCGTTTGTAATAGCCATTTGACAAATTCCAGTAACTTTGATAGGATTTTCTTGTACCTATTATCCATCAACCTGCCTCATCTGTTTTCCCCGCAGATAGAGATTTCATCCATTTCCCAAAATGCTGTCCGCAATCCCCGGAGCATGTGTTGCATCCATCTGTTGGGTTTATACGCGATGAGATGAGAGGAAGCCGTAGCCTAACATCACAGTAAGGTTTTCTAGTTGAGAAACAGTGAGGCCGCGTCACGTACTCAAATTGCAGCATGTCGTGCGGTTGCACTGCACTCTGATCTATTGAAGCTCCCGTCAGTGGAGAAATTGGCATGCCTGCCTTCTCCTGTGATGGATTTCTTTTCTCCTTGTCGAATATCGGTGCGGCGTGTTGAGTTGAGAAAGACTCCTTTTGTTCTTTGATCCTCGGGGACTGACACCAAGATGTCTTCTGTTGGCATTTCAGATAACCGAACAATTTTCTGCAATCAAACGCCGCTGTGGCTGTGCTGAAAATATATCTAGACGTCGTCTGATGTCTATATTTGGCCAGTTTTCTGGGAATTATAAAAATACGCCTTCAAACGATAAAGTTGCGGGACTCAGGTTGACAGTGTTAATCATCATTTCCACTGATGTCCTTTTAGGGTAAGCTGAAAAATTGACGTGTCCACTTATCTCTTGTTATTTATTACTCATTCATCTGTTTCTCTGTTTTTCAATTTTGCTGACAGTTATATAAACTGCTACCATAATCACACTTCTTGATTCTGGGGCGCAAAAACAGCACCCCGTCGAAACAAGTGCGGTAATACATCTCTGTATCATGTCTGGGGATGAGTCAGGACCCTCAACATGTAGGGTGGCGTGTGGAGTAGCATTACAAATTGCACACTGCATAGTTAGGGTCAGAGGAGGTTCATTCGTGCATTTGTCATCAGAATCAATTTTACCTTCTGTTGCTGGACACACAGAAAAGAGTTTCCAACATTCATCAACATTATTTTTCTAATAAAGGGCACAACCGCGGACACATAACATCTTGTAGCTGTTCAAACAGATATCTAGAAGTATTTGTAGATCATATCTTCCTCTGAGTGGGCTGAATTCTGAAATCAAATAAGGGCAGGGTACCTGTCTCGCACAAACAAGCTGACAGAGACACTGAAAAATTGCTCGCGTCAGTCTTAAATGAATTCAGGTTATGAAATATTGATGCCACTGCCAAGTAACATATGGACACAGTGAGGCGAATTCACATCGGCTGCACTGGCAACCGACTCGTTTAAGTTGGCGGCATGCATTAGAAAGCTTGATAAGCAGTTTCTGTCTTACAGCACGTCCAGTTTTGTAGTGTAATCAATAACAACTGTCATATCTGCCCGCGAGGCTGACGTCCTGAAGTTTAGTCGCATCTTTCCTGAAGATCTCCAGGAAAAAAAAAGCATCCGGTGCCCTTTGAGTTTGGGTCAGAAAGCATTCAGTAAACTATACCGACACAAAAGCTCCAGGTCTGATTTTGTCAAGATTCGATGCCAAGATGCCAGAACGAATCGTGGTTACACCACTAACAAGAACAGGGCACCAAGATTCACTGTGAGGATGTTGCACCTCCAAAAAGTCACAGCTACCAGCATGACAACAACAAGAACTATCTCAATCTTTAAAAATGCTCTTCAGTCTCTGTCATTAGAAATTTTTTAAAATAACAATCAGAACTTTCGACACTCACCTACAGCCTTCAGAGAGGCGTACTTGTTGAGATCCTTGTTTTGCTGCTGCTGTTGCTGCTGCTGCTGCTGATGCTGCTGCTGCTGCTGTTGCTCGTAGACATGAGCCAGCTGGCTGAGGGCAGGATAAGGGTGCTGCTGGCCCATGTTTGAACCTGGTCCCACGTTGTTGTTAATCTGGCCACCCTCTGTGGACAAGGACACGCGACAGGACAAGGTTACGATCACGTTCAAGGGTTAACTCTGGAGGGGCACTCACTGGTCAAATGGTTTGCTAAAGGGGCAGCCTGACAGGAACATCTCTCATTCACATTTTCCAGCATCCACTTACATAACCGTCTCTTTTTTATACTGTATGATCTGCTGCTGCTGCTGCTGCAGAGATTCTGGCCATGCACCACTGTTCTCATAAGCATCCACTCATGGACTCTTGCCATCGCTCTACAGCTGCAGCCTGTTGTACGTCTTTGCTGCCTAGTACACATTTGGACACAATCCGGTGTGTGTATATATATATATATATACACATATATGCACACTGATGAGCTGCATCTGCTGTGAATTATATGAAATTTACCAGTCATTATATCATGCATGCCAGTACATATACCCCAGCTGGCAGGGAACGTTCCCACAACATTGGCTAACGTCACCTTCAATTCTGAATATTGATTAAAGGCTTCATTCTAATGTTTAAAGAACATAGTCAGGATATCTTTTCAAGTAATATTCCTACAAGGTTTAACTCAGGCACAATGTTTCGCTGCAACTTTCAGAGAATGTTTTGAGGACGTTCTCAGGGCCACAGATTATGTTACAAGATAATAAAAGAAGTTTCCAAACCAACATTTAAAAACTCTTTTCATGACGTGATCAAGACAAAAAGTTCTAACAATGTTCTTGTAGTGAGATATATTAACAAAGTTGGAACGTAATGCCGGCAATACTTTGAGGATGTTGTTGGGGCAACACTTTACAAATCTTCTCACACATGCATTCATTTTGCTTTCCTGGCACATACGCAAAGTTGGCTTGGTCACAACTCTTGGGCTGCACAGTGGCTCGGTAGTTAGTACCATCGCCTTGCAGCTAGAAGATACGCAGTTCATCCTGGTTAGGACGCCAGGGATCTTTCTGTATGGAGTTTGCATGTTCTCCCTGTGCAGCGCTGGTTCTCTCTGAGTTCTCCAGCTTCTTCCCACAGTCCAAAAACATGCTGAGGTTAATTGGTGATTCTAAATTGTCTGTAGATGTGAATGTGAGTGTGCGTCGTTGTCTCTAAGTGTAGCCCTGTGATAGACTGGCGACCTGTCCAGGGTGTCCCCTGCCCTGAATCAGCTGGGATAGACTCCAGCCCACCTACAACCCTAGTGAGGATTAAGCGGTGTATAGATAATGGATGGATGGATGGATGGATGGACATGGGTGTCTGCAGACTCTGGTGGCAGAAAGCATGAAAGCATGATGTGTAGTTGGCCTAAATTATTTTACTCTCTAGTCTGCTTGGAAGATGTGTTCAGTATATGCACCGTGCAGCCTATGTACTATGTAGGTATCTATATGGGCACACTTATGCTGAGGATGAATACTACTGGTCAGATGAACACAAATTTTGGGATGCACGAGGATGTCCACAAAGGGGTTCATGAAGACTCTTGAAGAATTGAGCAGATGACAAACTTCATATCGCTCAGACCCCAACAGACTGGATGTGGAGAAGTATTATTCCCTTCGTCTTCTCTGAAGTACTTTAAGATAAGATAAGATAAACCTCTATTAATCCCACAGTGGGAAAATTTTCATTGTTACTGCAGCAAAGAGGACAGTGCAGATAGTGCAAAAACCTATGGACATCAGCAGAAAAACAAAAGAATAAACAAGACACATCCCAAATCTGGGTTTTCAGGTGCTGTGTGAGGACTGTGTCTTTGGGTTTGAAAACATTTATGAAATACATCCGTCTTTTTCTCTGGACTCACAGGATTCTTCAACATAAACAGAAGGTTTGTCTTTGAGATGGAAAAACAATAAAATGCCAGCTACGCGGAAATATTTGATCCTCTGTTTCTCAGCATATCCTCTTAACAGTATTTTTCCAGAGTAGGGACCGTCTGACTATCATTATTGTGCTGACCGGACGTTATTACCACAACAGCAGCAGGGAAGAAAAATCTTTCACATGCAGACATTTCACTGTGTTGTTTTGGGGCTTTGAAGAATAGGGCTATTGTTCTTGGACTTAGTTGTAACATTTGCTTGAGTTTTGTGCACTCGCTGCTTCAAATGTTAAATACTCAGCAATCAGCCTCACTGCTTTGATTGAGGATGAAAGTCTGCAAATCTGACAGAGCCTGACAGAGATTTTGTAATCTGCTTGTTTGATTCATCTAAAAACGATTGGTAAAGTCAGAATGTAGTAGATGTAATGAGGTTAGAGAAATGCTTTTTAGCTCTACCATTTATTATTATTTCAAACCATTGAAAATCTCCATCTTCCATGTTGCCATCTATTTTTCTGCTTATCTGGGGTTGGGTTGGGGTAGCTGCAGTCCAACAGGGCATTCCTGGTGTCCCTCTCTCTACCAATATTTCCCAGTTTGATGTCCCAGGCCAGAAGAGATCGATAATCTCTATAGGAAGTTCTGTTCTGGGTCAACCCTGCGGTCTCCTCCCAGTTAGGTATGCCGAGAAAGCATCCAAGGAAGGTGTCCAGGAACCACCTCTGCTGACTCCTTTTATAGTGAAGGAGCAGCTATCCGATATCCCCTATCGCTATCATTGTCATTCATTTGATCACTACCCAGAGCTCATGACCATAGATGAAGGTTGGAACATAGATCTGGTACATCTAGTAAATCCAGAGTTTTGCCTTCTTGCCTAGCTCTCGCTTCATGGCAGTCCCCAATCCTTCAGTCCACCTCACCCTCCATTTTCCTGTCACTCGTGAAAAAGATCTAGAGATTCTTTAACTTCTTTACTTAGGACATCAACTCAACCCCAACCTAAAGGGAGCAATCCTCTGGTTTCTGGTACAGAACCATTTCTGCAGAATGGGAGGTGCTGACTTTTGTCCTGGTTGTGTCACACTCAACTTCCCCAGAATGTGCTGAAGGTCACGACTTGATGAAGTGAACAGAACAACATCATCTGCAAAAAGTAGAGATTCAGATTTTTCCAAACCTGACCCCCTCCTCACCATGGCTTCACCTTGAGATTCTGTCCATGAATATCACAAACAAGATCAGGAGTCCAGCACCCACCGGAAACATGTTGGACTTTGTGCTTAGAATATAAATCTTCAACCATTTACCTCTTTTTTAAGTAATTCAACTGTTTATCCTTTACTTTTACTGACATTTTCAATTATTTTTCTCTTCCATTACACACATTCTCAACTGCAGCCCGTTGTGTTTAGGTGTTACAACTGGGCTTCTCCACAATCCTTTCACATATCCTCTAGCAACTGCATAACACTCACATTTCAGGTTTTAAAACTATCAAAATACATCTTATTACCTTCACTGTATTAGCAGGTGACTGTGTGTGACTCTTTCTCACGACCCACTTATGGCGTAGGAAGTAACAGATGTCTTATATTAATTACAGCATTGTGGTTGCAAAATTAGATAACTGTACTTTCTTCCTCTAATTAAATAAGAGATAATTACATTTCAAAAGATGTGCAGTGGGCTGAGCAAGGAGGAACTCCTCTAGCAGAGCCGCACAGTCTGACTTTAAAGCACGGCCCGAACGTTGAAGTATAATGTGGGACTTGTTCTCTCGCTGCGCTGAGCCTGACGGATAATTGCAAATTCCTGTTACGGAAGGCGAAGGTATCCTTTGCTCAGTGAATACATTCTTTTAAAAGCTCCAATACTGCCACTTGATAATTTGAAGAACATAAAAAATATGTCGAGACAGGGAGCGAGACTATGAAATGAGAGTGGGGGAAAGTGAAATAGGGAAAATGGAGAAGGATGAGGATGCATAAAGAACAAAGAGGGGGGAAAATAGTTAGAAAGTTGGGTGGCAGAGAAAAACTATAAAGGAGATGTGTGAAGCTCAAAGTAAGCTGGACCAAAATCATTAAAGCAGAAAATACAGGACACAGAAAAGATGGACGATCTATCGAAGCTGTTCCTTTCCTCCCGTCTCTTCCCTTTCAGCCCCTCTTAAAGGTACTCATACAGATGGCCTTTTGTTGCTCCACAGCAAACAGAGACGGGGAAGATGCGCAGCTACAACCCGAAAGTATTGATTTCCTCCACCGTCTTCTCCCTCTTTTATCTCGGTGGTGTTCCGTTGAGCCACGAGTTGCGCTCAACGGCCTAAAAACCTGCACGGCTCAACTGTCAAGGCGAAGCAAGTTGTGTTGTTACTAATTAAACACTTAGCCCTGGCACGGACTCAAACCACACACACACACACCCTGACTGACAAGGTAGACGCAGAGGAGAGACAATTAAAAAAAGAGCATCAAAGTGAGAGATGGTGTGTGAGGCCATGTAGACGAAGGAGGAGGGCACGAAGTTCCCCGCTGCGATGAAACGTCCTGCGGTGTTTGGTGAGAATAAAAAGACACATTCAATCTGAGATCTCGTAGACAACAGCGAGGTGGAAAATGCAAGGTTGAGTCATTTTCCGACAATATTATTGGATTTGAATGCGACTTGCACAGCGTCTCTGTAATGCGTTTACTGGGATGGTTTGGCTCACTGAAGGCTGCATGAATTTAGGTAAACCGAAGTGCACTGTGGAGGTTAGAAAGGAGAAGCAGGGGAAGAGAGACGCCATGGATAGAAGGAATAGAGAAGAAAAGAAGCCGATGGCATCGAGTCAATATGATGCTGAGCCCCCCTCTCTCATGAATTTAATAGAAACTCCCCAGAAAAACAAACAACATTCACTCCAGTCATGATAAAAGGCGGCCCACTCCTTTTTTTTTTTTTCATAAAAGGCCAAATCGCCTGGCATAAGGTCACCAATTTTCTCATTTCATAATGGATTTTGTCCGGTTGAGGAGCACATTTGTAAAATTCAACAGCCTATCAAAGCACAGGTGCACCTCCTCCTTTGCAGGCAATCTGCCATGAACGGATTCGCAGTGAATCCATGAGCAGTCACGGAAATGGCTGCACAAAATTGCTAAAGCCACAGTTACACAAAAAAAAAGAGAGAAAAAAAAAGG